CCCGCTGTTACAAACTCGGCTATTTTCCATGGAAATTTAAATGTCTGTACTGAGTATGCTTCTTTCCATCCAAACACTTCATACATAGTAATAGCAAATGAATATATATCAGCCGGTTTTTTGTATTTATCCTTTTTCAACACTTCAGGTGCCATGTAAATTGGTGTTCCGATACCTTTAGTGAATGTCATGTTAGTCATTAACATGTTGACATTTCTTGATGACCCAAAATCAGTCAATTTTGCATTTGCTTTGTCATTAAGATTGAAAGAAAACACGAGAATGTTGTCTGGTTTGATGTCTCTGTGTAGTATCTCATTATCATGTAGATACAATATTCCTCTTGCTGAATCATTCATAAATTTCAACCTCATTTTGTTGTCAACTTTTTCACTTGTTTTGTGTTTCATCAAATCTTGTAAACTGCTATATAATGCGAATTCGGTGACCAAACACACCTTATTTGGTATAAACACTGCACCATAAAAATGGACAATATATTCACACCTAAATTTATCAAGCATAGACACTTCATTCTCAAATTCATCCATCGACTTATTATCATCTAAAACACTTTTCATTATCTTGATAGCTACGATATTTCCTCTAAAACTTCCTTTGTAAACAATACCAAACGAGCCTTCACCAAGTTTCTTGTTTTCACACAATTCATCGTAATCAATTCGAGTTGTCTGTTGTGTCACACCAATAAGTGGAATTTCATTGTATTTTTCTTCATTTGTTTTAAGATTTTTGGAAACTAATTGAATTGTATTGTTAATTTTACAAGAACATAATGGCTTGACATAATATACGGAAAATTCACATGCAAAGCCACTTTTAAGTGTGACAACCTCTAAATCAACTCGAATCGTAAACTTTGTGATGTTCGTTGAAATTGTGAATTGTAATTTGGTGGTGTTTTTGTTTGTGTTTCCAACACACAACACCTGCCGTGTCTCTCTGTTAACTTCAATTTGCTCGATGTCTAAATTCAAGTCTATCATAATTGAAGAAACACTGACACCACCTTGAAGAGGGACAAAATTGATGTTCGATTTGTTCATTTTAAAAAGTGTTGTTGTTTTATTGATTTTGTGTGTGTATTTTTTGAAAATGTTTTTGGTTACAATGACAAGTGATACAATCAATACTATCAAAACAATAAGAACAAACAAAATTGCAACAAGTATGACCCACCAAACAGCTTGTGAATTACACAACGTGCCATCACCACTTGGGGTGTACCAAAATGAACAAGTTGAACATTTTGAATTTGTGATTTTATTGCATTTTGATATTTGTGAAAGACCTCCACAACTTCCATTTGCAAGTAACACAAGTGAATTAACACATGAAGTGCATTTATTGCTTGTTGTTGTGCACGTGTTGCAGTTGTCATCACATTTATTACACTCATTTGTGTTGACCGTATAATACCCATCTTGACACTTTGAACACCCATTTTGTGTGACATTCACAGCACACCCGATGATATCATTCTGTGGTAAACAGTCACCGCCATTTGTTTTGTAATTTATTGAATTGCAAGTGAGACAACTATTTAGATTTAAACATGTCACACATTTTTTATCACATTTATAACAATCAAGTCCCGTTCTATTATACCCATCTTTGCACACAACACAACCGCTTCCAAAACTTGCAAACTGGTCACACGTAAGTTCTAAGTTTTCATTTGTGTTACAATTGTAATTTGATAAATACGTGTTAGGTGGACAGCTGAGACATTTTGTTGATGTTTCAAAACACGTCAAACATCTTGGGTCACATCTTTCACATTGTTTTTTCGACTCATCGAGATAGTAAGTGTCTTCACACCTCCAACACCCAAAACTGTTTTGTTCAATACAATTTTGTTTATTGTTATTGTTACATGTATTATAAGATAAGATATATTCACTTTCACATTCTTTACATTTTCCCTTTGATAGATATATACAATTATCAATTGTTGTTGTGCATTTTCCGTTTTGGTCATTTGGACGTACACAATCATTCTTTTCACACATTCCATTTGTGTTCATTTTACTTGAACTGTCACACTTTATCGCTTTCCCATTTTCACATAATTCTGAATTTTTGTATAAATCATTGCATTTCATACATTTTGTTGTATTGGATACAAAACCTTTGTTGCAAGAAACAACGTTGTTTGTGGTTATTACCTCACCATTAGTATCACCTTTTACGCACTCGCCATTGTTGTCAATGTACCCATTGTTTGTGTTGCATATTTGACACTTTCCATTTGATTGAACAAGTAAACAAGTCGTATCACTTACACACAACCCATCTTGTAATGAAAACCCAACTGAACACTTCAAACATGTATTTGATACCGAATATTCACAATTTTCAATTTGTTCACACTTTGAATTGACAAGAGAATATTGGGTTTTGCATGAAATACAATTGTTTTTATTGATTGGACAATACTTACAGTTTACGTCATCGCAGATTGTTGAGTCTTCACATTTTCGAGATGTATATTCCATTGCTGCAACGTATAACAACTTTTAGTAACTCAAACCCGTTCTTTGTGTTTATTGCTGCGTTAAACTGTACACCTTCAAAAGTCAAATTTGTCTCTGAAACTATAAGAACAGTCTTTGTCAATGTAAACAAATTAATATCAACTATTTTTGGTGTTGAAATACCAAGAACTACACTGTCACTTTTGTAAAATGAAATTTGTGTGTTTCCAATTGTAACACTTTCAGATGAAAACTCATCATTTCTTTTTATGTGTGTTTTTGGACTTGTTTTAATTGGATTTATTTCAATACATAACGAGGTCACGTTTTGAAGTGGAGTGATATACCAGTCTTCTGTGTGATCACATGGACAATAAGGCTCAGTGTATTTCACAATTTTGTTTGTTACACTCTCAACGTGACAGAATATTTTATTAGAAGTACCATATCTAATTAATTTACCTCCTAATAACATCTTAGTACCAGCTAAAGGTATTTCAGTAATTGCCATTTGTGAACATATAACATCAAAATCAGTATCTGATTGTATTGTTGAGTTTGATATATTTAATGCTTTTAAAACGGAATACAATACAACGGGAAGATCTCTGATATCTCTGTTACTTACAACAATTGATGTATTAATAAACATAAATTCAGTACTCACACTGATGGAAGATTTTCCACTTACATTAAAAATACCAGTATATAGGAAACTCTCACTTTTAGAACAAAATGAAAAACAACTTCCATATTTTAATGACTCTGTCGTAATTTGTGCAAAATCTGCAATTCCATTTAATGTAATAACACCACCTTTATGAGCAAAGAAAAAATACAACATTGTTCAATTTCGAAAAGTCGTTCAGTGTTAAATATCCGTTTTCAACACTAACTTTATAAGAATCAATGTTAACTTCAGAATAATTATTTAAGGTCGCACGTTTTTAATTATAAACGTATAAAAATCTAACTCCATTTATTTTCGAATACAAGTTCATTACTAAAGTTGCAGCTTTGACGTCTAAAAAACTCAGTGGAATTTATTGTTGAATTGTCGTTCATCGTAAACGTGGAATTGTCATTGAAAAAAACATCTTTAAATGTTTTTATTAGTGTGTTTTGATTCATTACAACTAATACATTGTCATTAGTTTTAAATCCATATTTGAATAATAAAAAAGCGTTGTATTTAATTGTTAGTTGTGAATATTCTTAAATGTAATATAATAATTACTTTCCCAGTAAACAAAATTACAAATTAAAACACTGGAATACTGCTGAAAAAACATTTCTTTATATGTTGTTAAATTGGAATTTTCATTCATTTCCATTTTCGATGAATTGTAAAAGTAACTTTCTTGCGTCAACTTTAGATGTAAATTTCCAATTTGCACAATTAAGCCATTACCTGCACAAGTAACAATTCCATTAATTATAAAATGAGCATTAAATATTATTATGAACTGAATTACATCCGAGAATGAATCTGCACCTATTGTAACGTCATCATTTTTGTATACGTTTTAAACACTCTGATATTACTTAAAATTGTATTTGGAAAGCTACAACTTTATGGAGATGTGGAACAAATGAAAATAAACAACATGTGGTTGTAAACATGTTCAAAATAATACATTTTTTTTAATTTCAAAGTTTGTTATTTGTTGTTTATATATAAATGAGACAGCTTATAAATTTATTTATTAATAGTTTCACATTTTATAGTTTTTTCTATTTAATATAAAAACACTGATTCAAAATTATTGGTTTCTGGTTTTTGGAAATAAACCAACACATCTTCCCAAACCTCTACAGACCCTGGAAAAACTGACCGGCAAACTATAAAAATTGTTTCTGAAAACTATTTAATAGTTTTTTCAATAAAAATTTTGAAAAAAAAGACAAAAAACAAAAAAACTATAATATACTATAAATTATTTTATGCCGGTATGTTTTTCTGGGATTTGTATTATTTGTGTATTTTTCTCTGACAAGGAAACATTTCACCAAAAATAAAACAGCTTGATTCAGTCTGGTCCCTAGTTTATGATTTGTTCTCTGATTTTTTCTCTATCTGTAACATTATTATTTCAATGTTTAAAAAAATTGTTGGCATTACTAAAAAAGTCGATTATTCTAAAATTAAAGCAAAACTTTACAAACAGACTATTAAATAGGTGCCGAAACTTATTTTAATAAAAATTATATCACTAACTTTTATATTAAATATAAAAAAATTGGAAAAAAACCAACCCTAATTCTTATCATATATTTTTAATTTCCAAGTCACACAATAAGTTTTTGGCATACATTAAATATTATTTGTTAATAATATATTTATAAAAATGTAATTTCTATTTTTATTTTTTTTGATTTAAAAAAAGAAACACACAATAAAACTTATTTCCTGATTTGAATTTACAATCATTGATAAAAATTTAAAAAAACGATAAAAACTAGTATACAAAGAAGAAAAAAAAAATAGAACTACTTTTTTAAATGAAATTCTTAATTGTTGTTCAAGTGATATCTTTACTTTTCGTGTTCTTTTTCATTGTTTTCGTGGTTATCACTGACGGAAGTGTTTACGGTTTTTCTGTTCAAAACTACAACAACAATGATGACAACCAAGAGAATTTAAAGTATAAATACACAGACACACAACTCAATGTTTCTAATTTTAATTACAAAGGCAAGTGTTCTAAGGTGTTCAAATACAAGAAAAACAATCCTCGCGACTTATTTTTAACAGCAATTTACTTCAAAAATCCAAATGTTTGGTTTAATATCAAAGACAGAGCAGTTCGCTGTTTAAAAGTGGCTCAGTCTGGTATCCCCGATGCAACAAGAAAAGTTCTTCTTCTTTCTGAAAATGAAATTCCAGACTTTACAATGACGATGAATGAGTTGGGTGTGTCAGTCGAAAACCATCCAATTAACAAGACTTTCACCAATGGCGCCGTTCTAAGGTATTTTGCAACGTATGACTATTTGAGTCAAAATCAAGAGAAATACGACCGAGTTGTTTTTGGCGATTTTAAAGACATTTACTTCTTTGCTGATGGGTTTGCCACATTCGATGCGAACGACTTGATTTTCTTAATAGAATGCAAAGGCGTTAATAGTATGAAAACGTGTTTGACACTGGCAGAGCCAACAAATAGAGGGTGGATACGAACATCCTTTGGTAAAGATATAGCAGACAAGTATGCAAATAATAAGACGTTGTTGTCCAATGTTGGTGTTGTTCTTGGCGGGACAAAGAAAATGTTGAAGTATCTTGAAATATTCAAAGACAATGTTATTCCCGAAAAGGCAGATAATTGGGGACACGACCAAGCTCTCCACAACAAGTTGTTGTATTCGGGATATTTTGAGAGTCTGAATTACACCAAAGACTATTGTACACAACGAGTGTGCTTTAGTGAAGATAAAAGCGTTGTTTGGAATCAAAAGAAAAAGGCTTTATATACAAGAGGAACGGGGTGTGCTCCTGTTATTAGGCATAAAATCAGGTTTAAAAATTCAAAAATCTTATATGAATAAGAATTTAAAAAACATGTAACAGGTTAATTTAAAAGATCAATTTTTTAATTGATGTTAAGTAATGGTTGATAATTTCAAATTCAAATTTGTTCAAATTGTTAAATTTATAACTGTTTTTATGCATCGTAATTGAATTATGAAATAAAAAAATAAAACCAAGTTAAAACAATATTTAAAAGTTAGTTTATATTTGAACATAAAACACATACATTAAAATTATATAGAAATGTGTTTTTTGAAATTTGGAGGTATTTTATTTAATTCGTTGTTGATTCAGACTTCAACCAACAATTTTCAATCAAAAACATTTCATTTACAACGATACATGATTGAGATATGTTACTTTAAAAAATTTACTTAACTATCGTTTTCATTTTTTGTTGAAAAATATACTAAATTATTAAATTGTATTTTAATAATATCAACGTATAAATTGAAATCACGGGTAGGATTTAATAAAATGTATTATTCCGTTTTGGTTTAAACATATATATAATTATAATCATATATGTTTTGTGTTAAAGAGATTATTATAAAAATTACAAATAAATAAAATTGCATTTTTTGTTGCTAAAAACATGACATCAAACTAGAACTGTTAAATTTGATTTAAAATATAAATAACAGTTATTTTTACACACATTTCAGTTAATGAAAACAAGCAGAGACAGTTGTATAAGCATGTTACATTACTTATGTTTCTTGACTTCAAAGGGTTAATGGAAAAAAATTACCATTACCAAAAATTCACTGAAATATATATTTTTCGATAATTTCAAATTGAATACCATTTGGAATAGAAAATATTACTTTTTTTCGATTTCGGTAAGTTTAAAATATATGTATTATATTTAGGGATGAACTAAAATCCATTTTACATGTTCACCAAAAAGAGAAAAAATCAATAAAATATTTCACCAATTTACTATCTTAAAGATCCCTATATTTTAAAAAACATTTTTATTAAAAATCAAAAAAGTAATAACATTTTGCATTTTCATCAATTGTAATTTAATAATAAAGTTTTTCCATTTCTGATAACATTTAATTATTATTGCAATTAATGTTAAAAAAATGAATATAAAACAAAAAAGACCAAAAAAATCCAACAATAACCAATATCATTAAATTATTTTTTTGAAAAAAAAACAAGACAAATGTTACTTTTGTTGTTATTTAATTAATATAAATATGTTTAATGAAATATTTATATTTCATTGTAAGCTGATACGTTAATATAAGTGAAAACAACATAAAATAACAAAATGTTATTTTGGATTCGACAAACAAATTTGTATTATTATTTGCGCACTTTATAAAAACGATAGGCATTTTTTGTTTAAAATCATTGATTATCATTTACTACCATTTATCATTTTAAAATTAACAACTATTCTTGTCAATCAATGCAATTAAAAGAATCATAGATTGTATGTAAGTGATATTTAATTTTTGTTTTTGTACTTATTTCAAATAAACATTATTTTTATATAATAAAAGAAATATTGTCTAGTAAAAATATGCCTTTCATGTCATATATTTAATAAATATTACAAAACAATGTTACTTGACATAATAAGTCACAAATTGAAGTTGTTGTTTATTTTAAAATTATGTCTGATAGATAAAATCGCAATGATATAATCATTGTTATTACATTATTATTATCAAAAATATAACGATTTAAATCCATAATTATTATATTACATTTGTTTTGATTTGAAATATAATGTCTCAAATTATAATAAGTATATTTAAGAGCATTATTCAAAACAAAATAAACAGATGGTTACAAATTATTGTTAGATTTAATGAATCTAAAACAATGTTAGATGTTGTACAAATGACATTTTCGATATTTGTTGCTTATAAAAATAAATTAAATTAATTACGAGCATTTCTCAATGTATTTTATATAATATTTATAATATATATTCTGGAATTTTAATAATATGTTTTGATTTGTACCTTTTTTTATTAAATATAGTGTTGTTATCGTTAAAGTTTTTATTAAAACCTGTTTTATGTAAATTGTTTTTTATTTATGATAAGTAAAAAATATATTAACACTTTCAAAACAGAAACGTAATAATAATAAGTTTTTATTTTTTTCTTTTACCTAAACCCTTTTTTTGCCTTCATACACAAAACAATTTTTTGAAAATTTTTATTTATTTTTTTATCAACTCAATTTTGAATTGTATATTTTATAGTCACACAAATAAACATGAATGAGTTTGTTTGTGTAAAACAAGAGCAAAGCCTAAAAAAGAAAGATGGGGCCTAATGATAATTTGATATATTTGGTTGTTTTTTTATAAAGAGAATATTGTCATTTGATTAAACGATATTGGTGTTTATATTGTCGTCATATTTGTTAATGTGACTATTTGACATTGTTTGTTATAAAGTGGATTGACGCTGTAGCGTTTTTTGTTTTAATGTTGTAACACAATAAAGCGATACGAAATTTCATCAAAAAGATTATTTTTGATCAATCTTAAGTAATTGAGTTCTCATTTGTTAATTATTTTAAGTAAAATAAAACTGACTATTGGCCAGTTTGGTTTAGAAAGGGGTTTTGGAATAAAAATAATAAAAATTTTGATTTGGACAATTTCTTTTTTACTTATTTTTCTTCTTAAAAAAAAGTTTGGGGTGTGAAAGTGTTAACAATAAGATAAAAATTGCCGCTCATTGTAATGATTGTAAAAAAAATCATTATTGAATTTTTCATTTTTTTCCAAAAGGCAGAAATTGTTTTAACCAAAAACATTAAAATGATATTTATTAAATTATTCTCTATAAACAAAACCAAAATTCTAGAACTTAAATAGTTTTATTTGGTGAAACGATTTCACCAAATAATTTACTAAAACATAAATTTTCAGTAAAATTATTTCACCATTTAACTTCATCCCTAATTCTATTTTTATATTATTATTTACCAAAAACACAATTGAATTTTTTTGATTAAAAAAATCAAATATTGTTTATAAATTATAATAATTTATAATAAATATACGAGTGTTATTTTAAAGTCTTTTTTATTTAAATTTGTTTTCGATGTTATTCTTAAAAACTTCCAAAACAAATCCAAATGTTATTTATTATATTCATAATAACACTTGTTGTTGTTTCATTCTCGTATGAATGGTGCGACAACTCGAATGGGATTATTAGTTATGGTGTATTTGAAACATGTACCAAGAAAGGGCGGTCATATACAACAGATACAAACGATTATGACCATTTCAGTTTTGATGACACTTGTTGTATTTATAACACAAAGACTTTAGCAAATACAGGTACTTATGCTCGAAATTATCAGAAGTATTTTCGGTTCCAAGGTAACATGTCCAATTTTAAAACTTTTTTTATAAAAGAACATTATCCAAATACACTTTACGACTTTTATGAAGACACAAGATATCAATCATTTTTCATATCTTTTGGTTGTTTTGGAAATGAAGGTTATTGTCGAAAAGAAGTTTCCGATTCTTCAAAGCCAATAATAGGACTTGAGTTACGTTCGGTTTCACTGTTTTCTGATATTGATCAACGCTTTGACATTTGGCTAAAAAGAAACCCGACTTCAATTCCATATGTTCATGTTGATGGATTGGTCTCTCAAACAGTCAATTTTAATTTCAGTGATATGTCGGCTTGGGAAGGTGTCTATTCTGGGTCGCGTTATTTGTTTAGCGGGTCTTCTCAAGTTGATGAAAGTCGAGTCACTTTCACAAAAAGAAGTTCTTCGGATGGTTGGGTTGCAAAATCTGTGTGTACAAGAAGCAATTTCAAACGTATAATGCTGTTTAAAGAAAATGAAATAACAGAAGGTGTTAATACTAATTTATGTGGATGTGTGCCTAACAATGGCAATTTTACATATTCAAGCAACTTCACATACCCCGATTGTGATTATAACAGCACATATCTTGATTTGGATTTGTCAAAATTATCAGGAAATTCAAAAAATTACACACTTCCTGTATTTGAATGGAATACTATTATAATATCACTTCAAAAAAGTTACACATTGACCAGTATTAGTACAAATTCTATTCTCAAATTGAAATTACTTGTTCTGGATAAAGACACGAATATATTCTTTCGACTACCAGTTGAAATAACAACACTTGAAGTCAATTCACCTTCTCAGACATGTTTTGAATATGGGTTGACTGTCAATAATATAATTTCAAGTACTAATGATGTGGTGTTATTTTATTTAGAAGGTTTATTAGAGGGCTCAACAAACAAATAATCAAAATGCAGAATGAGAGTTTACTTATCGACATCGTTGAATATACCATGAAACTGTAAGTATAAAGATAGCAATTTTATAACAGAAAAATCAATTTTTATGAGTGAAAGTGATTGTAAAATGTATGTTTATGATTGGCAACTGAATTTAATTATTTATGATAGTGTTTATAGGACAAAATATGATTACTATAATTGGAAACTAATCAATTTTACTTGTGAATGTACACTTGATACAAACAATGGTCTAATTTGTATTAATTCAATGGATGTGGTTGTTTATGATCATTTGACAATGTATATTAATCTTAATGTTTTTGAAAATTTAATATTCAACGATAACAGTCAAATTACAGTTAAAAGTAGATTTTTGTCTATCAAAAGCGAGGGTCTTAAGTTTTCTAATTTGACAACAACTAACATTGACAGAAATCCTTTGATAAATGTTATTGGCGGTTCAGTTGTAGTGAATAGTACAAACGAAATATATACATTTGATTATAAAGAGTTTTGCATTGATGTGATTTCTTTTCGATACAAACCCAATTGGAATGCAACTCAATTGAGTTTACTTAGAGGTGGTAAATTATTGAGAGTCTGCAATTCAACAGATGACCATAAAACCGAAGTGAAATGCACTTTAAATGGAAATGATTTTTATGATTATAGTAACTACAAATATCAGTTGTATCATTGCCCATTAAACGAAACATTGTGTACTGTCAATGCTAATAATAGCGATTTGGTATTAAATGAAACATTTATTGGAAATATTCAACAAGAAGTGAATGTTTTGAACTTAACAATAACAACTAATTATTCAACACACTTCAAAGATATAATAAGTGGTGTTCTTTATATTAACAACAAATCTGTTAATGGTGCAAGTGTTACTCTAACACAAAAAGTCGACAAACTATTTATCTCATCCAAATATCTTTTTCAGCCAAATTCAAACAACAGTAACACAATCGAATTTTTCACTTATTTTAAGTGTAAAGCATTCAAAACTTCGATAAATGGGGATGGTATGTGTGTACTATGCGAAAAAGATATGTACCTCAAAAATGGGGAGTGTTTTAGAATCGATGTTTCTTGTTTAAATATATCGTCAGGTGATACAAACAAAGTGTGTGAACAATGTGATGTTAAACAAGAGGCGTATCGAAATGAATGTTTAGATTGTCCAAACAATTGCAAGCGATGTGTGAACCAAAAATGTGTTTTATGTGAAGACAATTACAATTACAATTCAGAAGGGAATTGTATTGCAATAAATAACATAACAACAAATGTTGAATTTTACTCGAAACAGAAGTTTTGAAATGTTCAGCGGGCTATTAAAGTCTGTTTTCTATTTAACGATATTGGGTTTTACTATTATTTATAATAACAGTATTATAATTTATAATAAAAATAAAGTTGTTTTTCAAAAAAATGGTTTGTATTTTATTTTTTTGTTCTTTTTTTAGAAATATGTGTTAAAAATAACAAAAAACAAAATTGCTTTACAACTAAAAAATTTTTAAAGCAAAAACGAAGAATAGATTGGTCTTGAAATGTGATACGACGAAATAAACCATGTCAACCAGGTTATTCAAAATGAATAAAATGTCATATTTGATAGAGCAGACGCGTCAAATTATCATTTGAATCAAATTGAAAACGACAACAAGTGATTTGGAAAAAAGTCAATGCTCAGGATTTGTTTATCATTAGTTTTAATTAATGACAATTTTATTAATAGTTAATGGTTTTTAATTAGCGATATTGAGTATAGTAAATTATGGTTTAATATTTTCGGTCTAGTTCTTTTCTTTGTTATATTTTAAGAATATCGTTAAATAGAAAACAGACTTTACAATACATTTGATAAGTGTCATAAATGCTCTGATCATTGTTTGTATTGTGAAACGTTTGAATTTTGTTTATCATGCAAAAATACTCATATTTTGAATGAAAAGAATGTATGTGTACCTTTACCTGATGGTGAAATTGTTATTGGAGAAAAGTTTATATTATGTTCAGATTCATACTATTCAAACAATGGCACCTGTGTCAAATGTTCGTTAAAATATGGAGAATTGTGTGATGTGTGTGATGACAAAAAGTGTTTAAAATGCTCAAACATGGGAGTATTAGATTGTGATGGTAAATGTATTGCTTTTGAATCAAGTGGGTGTGTTTCATCACCAAACACATATTGTTCGGGTTGCCAAAATCATTCAATTTACATTTCAGAATCAAATGGCGTTTGTGGTGAGATTTCGAATTGTAAAATTGCAACGTCAAATGGAAAATGCGTGTCTTGTAACGACGTGTATTATTTCACATCAAATCAAACATGTGTTGCTTTGTCAAGTAATCAAACAGAAAATTGTGACATCATCAATAATGATAATGGGAAGTGTATTCGCTGTGCCAGCAAACACTATCTCAGTGATGGAACATGTTTAAATTGTCCTAACAATTGTATGAGTTGTTTCAATGCAACTGTGTGTATTGAATGTGAAGGCGGTTTGTCAGTTTCAAGTAACGGGACTTGTACGACATCAACAACACAAATGGAAAATTGCAAGAAAATGATAAACCGACTTTTCATGTGTGCAATTTGTGATCAAAAATACTTCAGAAACGACAAGGGCCAATGCGAGAATTGTACTGACAACTGTGATGAATGCAACCAGAAAAACACATGTTTAAAATGCAAAGAAAACACATTTCTTGTCACTGAAGGGACTCAATGCTTTCCATACGAAACTTTAACAAACTGCGAAACAAAAACTCAAAATGGGTGTTCACAATGCTCGACTGGTTATTATGTGAAAAATCAGTTATGTGTGTCTTGTAATTCCACAAAGTCAAATTGTGATAAGTGTAATTCTGTTGGTGTGTGCACTTCGTGCTCTCCAAATTACATCTTAATCAACTCCAATCGTACTATAGGAAGTAATGTTAGTCAGTGCACCAAAGTTGACAACTCAAAATGTGCAACATGCACCTTTTGGTACGCCCCGTCTTCTGATGGCACTTCGTGTGCAAAGAAAGCAGTTTGGTGGGTTATTCTTGTTGGAATTTTTCTCATCATTCTTGTACTTTTTGTTGTGTTTGTGGTGACTATATTTATCACACTGAAAATCGTCAAAAGAAAGAAAGAGCACAAAAACAGGAAGAAGACGTGTTTTTTCACTATGAGTAAATCGAATATCAGTTTTCATAAAACAAATACCCCAGAAGTTGTTGTTAACAAAAATGAAATTGTGTTTGAAACCGATGAAAATGGCACGGAAATACCAGCAAATGAAGAAAGTCGCGAACTCTTGTGTGTTGGTAATAGCGGCAACAACACAATTAAAGTTCAATTTTCAATATTTGATAATAAATACAAATATTCAATACAAACTCTACCAAATATAGCAACAATACCAAAAGGTAAAGCAATCGAATTTGAAGTGTTTCTGAAGCCATTGTGCAGTTGCCAAATAGATGATATTATCGTTTTATTTTCTTCCATTTTAAAGAAAGGTGTTATCTCAGAAGTTCGTATCCAAATAAAAGCAAAAACATTAATTTCGAGTAAACTTGATCCTGATGAATTGGAAGAAGAGAAGAAGATTGGCGAAGGCTCGTTTGGTATAATTTACAAAGGAACCTTCAGAGGAAACATAGTTGCAATAAAAAAATGAAAATGAGTGGACAACAAAATGAATTAAACGAATTTGAGAATGAAGTGTCTATGCTTGATAAATTTAGGTGTGAATATATTGTACACTTTTATGGTGCTGTTTTTATACCAAATAAAATTTGTTTGGTCACTGAATTTGCATTATATGGCAGTTTACAAGACTTAATAAAACACAAAACAAGTAGAGAAGTTAACATGAAATTACGAGTAAAATTTATGTTAGACTGTTCAAAGGGGATTAATGGGTTTAGGAAAATCTGCCCTTTTAAAAATTGCCTTTTCAATAATTCGCCTTTTTTCGCCTTTATTTTTCAACAAAATTTCAAGTCATTTGAATTTTTGTTGAATATTTATTTAAAACTCGTTTACAAAAATAAATCAATCTGTATTATTGTATTTATTACAAAAATATATAATGTTTATAGTTAATTTATATTTATTATCGAGATGGTTTTTATATTAAATAAATAAGTATAATAATTATAATTAATGATAATAATTGTTTTAATTAATTTATTAAATACACTAAAATGAAAAGCATTAAAATAAGTTTATTTATTTTACTCTTTTGACTATTTACAATTAAATAAAAATCATAATCAAATTACAATTGTTTTTTTAAATCATTTAATAATATTAATTACATTCCATTGTGATATAAAATTATATACAATAATTATATAATTGTGTATGTTCAGATAGTCGATGTGTTATTAATTAATAATATAATTTATATATTTTTAAGTTTATCATTTCATTATTATTAATTATATAATATCACTATTGTAATTATTAATTATAATAATAATTGTACATCAATTAAAAAACATTAAATTAATTATTCTTCCATTTTAGTATTTTTGGTCCTTTTCGATTTAATAGAATTTCTTCCTTTTTGCATCACCTTTTTCAATGCTTTCGCTTTTTTAAAATCTGTTTTTTCCTTCGATGTTCTTTTTTATTTACTTGGTTTTTTGGTTTTTTTTCACTGTTTATTTTTTGTTCTTTTTTATGTGTTCTTCAATTTCTTTTCCTGTGTTATAATTCAAAATGACTTCATTATCTATTTGAGGCTCTTCTATAACCATTTCATCATTATCTTCATCACTTTCATTGTCTTCAAACAAGCTATTTTCTTTTTCGAATACAATTTCCATTTTTTCGTGTTTTTCTGACGTTTCTTCTTCGGCCATTGTAAGTTGTTTTATTTTATCAATAATTTCGTTTTCATTTTCAATTTCAACTTTTGCAGTATCAACATCCAAATTGAAATAAATTTGATATTTCTTTTTAGTGAGAAGTTTGGTGCACTTTTTGAGAAATACGATTGGTTCAATTCTATGAGCACCAAATAACTGTTCCTGAAGTTCTTTCAGTGTTATATTTTTTTCGACCGTACCAATCTTTTTTCGAGTTGTGTTAAGTGACTCTTCAAATAGTTTAAATTTCAAATCTATAATATTCTGGAAAGACAGCAATTTTTCAACAAAAGTGTGAATAACAGGATGAGAAATACATATAAATCGATTCAACGCCGAATGAAAACTTTCCGCTCGGTTATTTGTTCTTTCGGGAAGACCAAATACCGACCAGTGCTCAATTTTAAAAACACCATTTATATAAGTGTTTTCAAAATACTCAAAAAACACTTTAACATCTTCGTCTTGACACAGTTCTTCTTTTATCATATAAAATGTGTCCCTGATCATTGTTTTTGGCAAATAAGCCAATGACATTAACATTTTTATTAAGGTTTTAAACGAATCACCTTCAACAAATCTTTCACCAAATCCCATAGTTAAAACTCTCCTGTAAAGAGATTGGCAAAAATGAAAATGACAACATTTAACATTAACCTCAGTTCCAAATAGATCTTTGAAATACACAACTTCAAAGTCTCCCATTACAACAACATTTT